CCAGCATGGAGCCCAACATGGGGACTGAACTCATGACCCCTGAGATCAAGACCTGAGCTGAGATTAAGAGTCCGACCCTTAACCAACTGAGCCACTCTGGTGCCCCCCACCCCCATCTCTTGATCAAGGTCTTTTTAACAACAAAATAGTCATAGTTATTTGGACTTCTGCAGTCAGTACAGCATTTATACATAAGGTGCAATAAGAACAACATAAGCATACCTAATACTTGCAGAAGCCAATGAAGGGCATAAATAGGCTTCTTTTAATCTGTAAGACCATTTCAAACATCTTTATATTGATGTACCAGTTTAATTATCTGTTTACTTCCTTGTTCTATGACTACTTGAACTTTGTGATAGAACTGTATAGAGCCATTTAATATGGTAATGGAACTAAATCTAATTCTTCCTCAGGCCAATCACTTTCCATTGGTATCATATTCTTTGGAGGTTTTAGTTCGGTTTCCCAATACATTTGACTATCACGTGATTTATTTATATAAGATAGTTGAATTTTGCCAACAATACTAGAATCACACCATATCACAATATGGCTAGGATACAGTTTGGTTTGGTTACAAAATAAATCAGGAAGTACCACAGAAGTGTTTATTAAACCCTCCTAGAATTGTTCTTTGCCCACATACTAGATATTATTATGGACAAGTGTTATCACCAGTGAGGATGATTCTGTCATTTCTAGGTTCCATGTGAGCTGAGGACAAAACAAATCACTTGGCTCAAACCACACTATTATATAGTTATAGGTTCTCACTGACTATTGTGCAGGAAGGCCATCTCCCTCCCATGAAGAATACATGGTATCATTGGATACATGGGTACCCAAGAATACAATGGGTATCATTCAATATTATTCCTACTAGCTCGTCTTATTTTGGTCCATCCATTTGGTCAAGGTAAGTTAGAGATCAGCAATGTAAGTTACAATTTCACTCAAAAAAAATTCCACAAGGTTGGGGATCTGCATGTGCCTCAAAGATGTTCTCCCTGAGCTTCCATAGCTAAAAATGGGAGGCCGTTACTACATGGGTCCTTGGGCCTCCATTTGCAGTAAAATAGTTAACAGACCCTGTTGTGTCAGAAACATGCTCTTTCCCAGTGTTGAGTGCTAGCACTCTCTAGCATTATGTACTGGGTCTGTATGACCATATTATCAAGGCTTTACCCTCTTTCCAAGAGGATTCCCATTTTTTCCCTCCTGGCAGATGATTCCTTCCAATGCCTAATCTCAAAGAATAAATTCTTTTCTTCTGAAAGTCACTCTTCAAAAGTTAATTCAGCTTCTTCCATTATACCGAGGCCAGCTTCTATTTCACCTAGAGCCCCCTTTTATTTCACTAGCCAATGTTTAATCCAACACATGCCTTGTTGCCACTGAGTATTAACTGCTTAAGTACAGTTAGGATTCATGCACCACACACCAAAATTCTGGGTGTCTCATGCCAGAATCAAGTTATAGTGGTCACTCCCAAATTCATTAGTTTGAGCACACCAAAAGGTTTTCCATAATCTTCGTGGTCTCAGGTTAGGGTTGTTCCCAGTGTGGACACAAATCCACCATGTAATGCCTGATATGTTATTTTCATTCACAGCCCATTGATACTTTTCAGTTGTTTAAAAGCTTTCTATGCACAGAAACAGGGATGATATGTATTCTCACACATCGTACTATGACATCTCAGGCATGTGGCCACTATGTGCTGCCCATTATATTTGGGCTCTTGGTCATCAAAATTTATGATTACGCATTTATCAGTTTGCCTGACATTATATACTATGCATTATAATAGTTCAGAGGGAAGACATTCCTGAATATTCTAATGAATTCCTCATATTCTAATGAATTCCTCATATTCTAATGAAGGCAAGTTTCCATAACTCAGTTTCATTACCATTTCTACCTGTAAAATGGGAATAATGCGGTTAAGTATTTAGTGATAGTTATAACCATCATGTATATCAAGCTCTACCTTTTAAAAATAAATAGGAGGGGTGCCTGGGTGGCTCAGTTGGTTAAGCGACTGCCTTCGGCTCAGGTCATGATCCCAGGGTCCTGGGATCGAGCCCCGCATTGGGCTCCCTGCTCCACGGGAAGCCTGCTTCTCCCTCTCCCACTCCCCCTGCTTGTGTTCCCTCTCTCACTGTGTCTCTCTCTGTCAAATAAAAATAAAAATAAATAAGTAAATAAATAAATAAATAGGAAGTCAGGAAAACTGAACAACATGTAAATGACATTGTGATACCTTCAAATATTAATAAGCAAAAGGGATTACCAGTCATATATGTAATCCTTTAGTCACCAAAGGATACACAGAAATAGCCCACTAAGTAGTGAAAGGAGCCCTTTCCAAAGCCTTCTCTAAAAGGTGGGAAGTTTTAATGCTATTCTTTTTTTAAAAGATTTTATTTATTTATTTGAAAGGGAGAGAGGGTGCGTGAGCGCGCGCGCACATGAGGGGGGGGAGGGAGGGGGAGAGGGAGAGAATCTCAAGCCGACTCTGTGCTGAGCACGGAGGCTGGCGCTGGTAGCTTGATCCCATGACCCTGAAATCATGACCTGAGCCAAAATCAAGAGTCATACACTTAACTGACTGAGCCACCCAGGCACCCTGTAATGCTATTCTTTACACAACTTAATGTTCATAAAATATATTATAAACTATGAAAATTACTTAAATGAATGATGAGACCAGAGTTGAATATTCAATGGAAGTTATGTGACACCAGTCAGTTCTTTATAAACTGTATTACTTTCTGATAGGGTTTAATGCCAGGTTAACAGATTGTAGCACTTAGAATTTAGAAATACATACCCCACTATGAACATATACAAACCAAACACTCTTGTCATTGTATCCATAACCTTTAATAGTCATACTGGATACCAATTTCTCTCCAACCTCAGAGATAAAAACAGCACAGCATATAAATGTCAAATATTAACACACTGTGAAACTACTGAATGGCTTGGCATAAGAATTTTAAACATCCTTTTGACCACAGCTAGTAACAGGCTGAACTTGCCACCAATGTGATAAGCTGCTTCTCTCAGGAGAGGAACAGAAGTCAATTAACTTTAAACATTGAGATAATCATCATTCATTATCATATACTGGTGTCTAATCTTTATGAAGGTTTTATAATAAGATTTCAATTTCTAATCTGTTCCTAAATTCAATTAACTTCAATATAGAAATCTTCACTGCTCCCCCACTCCCAAATAAATTGGGTTCACCTTTCCTTCTTGGAAAGAGGGTACATAAGTGGCCAGAATTTCATTGCCTTGGGAGGAACTTCTCAGTACATATAAAAATGTATTCCTGCCCTTACTATATGATCAGCTGAATGCATTAAATCCCTACTGAGCATTCTGGAGAAATAGCACCGCACTCTACTGTACTGAGACTACTCGAGAGGGGGAGGAGCTAAGAAATGATGATGGTTGGGACCAGGGTGGAAGCAATGGAAGTGGTAAGAAGTAAGTGGATTCTGGATATTTAATGAAGGTAGAACCAACAGGATTTGCTGATGGAAGTTATATGGGAAGTGAGAGGTAAAAGAGAAATAAAGGATAACTCCAAGATTTCTGGCCTGGGGTCAAGAGAAGTTCTTTTGAAAAGGGAAGCAATAATAGCATGTTTGTGTGTCCACAGTGACAGAAGACAGGGCAGAGGACATAGGATACAGACACAGATACATACAGATGAATAGCTGTGGCGGAAGCAAGGAGAAGTACTCTTTGGATCATTTCAATTTCCTCCATGGAATAAGATCCAAACTACAAGCAGAGAGTAAAGTTAGAGGAGGTGCTGGAGGTTTAAGGAGAAAGGAACGTGTATGATTAGTTACTTGCGAAAGCAGGGGGCGTGGCTCAGAAAACGTAGTATGATTGTTGGCAGCATTAAGGGCTCACTCCAAGTTTGTGGTCATAAATTTAAAGTGAGATTAGTCTGTACTGAGGTCAGTGTTTTTTCTGCTACTTCGAAGTGCAGGCACAGAGTAGGGAGGAAGTAGGATTTAACCAGGGTTGGATTTTGACAGCAAGTGTAACAAAGAGAGAGAAGGGCCAAAGGAACTGAAGATGTATACGTGGAAGTGACCATGGAAGTGAAGGTGGGGAAGGAGAGAAGTGAGGGTATCAAGGGGATGAGGGACAGTTTAAAAGTGCTAGGATCAATGGCACACAACCACAGGTAATTCCCTGGTTCAGTGATGCTTTTGTGTTTTTGCTCTACTAATTCTATACTTTGTACCTATTTATACATCAGTTGTTAAAATATGATATGATAGAAATTATGAATATGTGACCGGAGCCTAGCACTATATCATGTACCATCAGATCTGTAGACCTGCCTTCTCATGATATTCAGCCTAGTCTCTCTTCCCAGCCCTGATCCCACATGCAAATACACACATGCACAGACACACACATACATGTAAAATAACAGTGGTTACCTTTTGGTGGTGACTGCAGTTTTTTTGTTACATGGAGTTTGGGTGAAGGTTTTTTCTTTGTACTTTCTGATTTCTAAATTTTCTATATTGAGCACAAAATGCTTTGATAATTTAGAAAAAAAACTAAAAGAACATATGCATTTACACCCATATATAATTAAATGCTGGCTGTGCTCCCTAATGAGGTGTCAGAAGACTTAATCAAGCAGGATTAAGGCCATAGACAAATTACAGAAAATAAAACTTTTGAGAGGATGGAAGCTGGTATGCTTTAAAAACTATCAGTTTTCATAAAACATGCATGGATCACTGTCTAGCAAGTGAAATATATTAAAATGCATGACTCTGAAACCACAATTAAAAGAGTATTTTGGGGGCTCCTGGCTGTTTCAGTCAGTGGAGCATGTGACTCTTGATCTTGGGGTTGTGAGTTTGAGCCCCACACTGGGTGTAGAGATTACTTAAAAATAAAATCTTTTTTAAAAAAGTGTTTTTAGATTGGAAGAAAGAACCACTGCAAACCTGTTTCCTGCTTTGAGCTCTTGCATTCCGTAATCTTCGAGCAGAATAAAAGATAAAATAGCCCACAGTTGCTGCCGTAATAATAAAAAAGGACACAGAAACGAAGAAAATTGAATAGTGATTCACCCAAGGGCCATGTTTTTTCCCTACTTCGATGACCATTGTTACTTGTATGCCTCTTTGAATAGATTGCAGAATTTTTGTGCCTTTCAGATTGCCAATCATGATTGCAACAATGTCTCCTGCACCTGTAAAAGAAAAGAAATTCAGTTTTAGTTTTGGTAAAGCATTCTGAGTATAAAAATCCAATTGCTAAAGTGATTTTACAGTATTCCCAGTGAGACAATGGGAGGATACTCATTCATTCAATTAACGTACATTGGGCACCTACTATGCATATATGTTATAGGGGATATAAACATGCTGAGACTTGGTTACTGATCTTAAGGAACTCATAGTTTAGTAAGGAAGCTATGACATATAACAAATACCTCTCCTCTCTTCAGGTTAACCACCTATAATTCAACAGTATTGAGTTAAGGGCCAAATTTGCCTCTTACATGAAGGCTTTTTTTTTTTTTTTTAAAGATTTTATTTATTTATTTGACAGAGAGAGAGACAGCGAGAGAGGGAACATAAGCAGGGGGAGAGGGAGAGGGAGAAGCAGGCTTCCCGCAGAGCAGGGAGCCTGATGCGGGGCTCGATCCCAGGATCCTGAGATCATGACCTGAGCCAAAGGCAGACGCCCAAAGACTGAGCCACACAGGCGCCCCACATGAAGGCTTTCTTAAAGATAAATAGTCCCCCAGATGGTAAAGAAGAGGGCTTACAGGGCGCCTGGGTGGCTCAGTCGTTAAGCGGCTGCCTTCGGCTCAGGTCATGATCCCAGGGTCCTGGGATCGAGTCCCACATCGGGCTCCCTGCTCAGCGGGAAGCCTGCTTCTCCCTCTCCCACTCCCCCTGCTTGTGTTCCTGCTCTCGCTGTCTCTGTCAAATAAATAAATAAAATCTTAAAAAAAAAAAAAAGAAGAGGGCTTACATCCTAGGGAATCTGAGATTTGGGGAAGACAGAAATAATTAGCTACATACTTTCCCAATTTATAAGGTGACAGACTGTCTCATGAGCTCACTACTAAAATGTATAAGAATTTACATATCAGGAGTAGTAATCTGAAATGTTTACCAGCCCAAACATTCTATCTATCTATCTATCTATCTATCTATCTATCTATCTATCTATCTATCTATCATCTATATATCTCCATGTGCCATTTTCCCATGTCCTCTAAAGCAATATAAAATTTGTCCAAGGTACTCTAAAGTTTTGCACGGACCTAATCAGGTGAGCAATGAATAGAGCATGTAAAATTAATAGTAACGTATGGTTCTATTCAACACCAACTAAGGTCAAGCCTGAAATTAAACTAACAGTCTAATAGTCTAAATCTTAGTCTAGAGGCTTAATCTCTTTAACACCTCCCTCTCCACCCCCAACTATATAAATCTTGTGAAAAAAATAAAGGACAAACATCTTTCCCGGTGTTGTGAGAACGTCAGATTACTCATGCCATTCCAATGCTTATCAAGGTTTATATTCCTTCTAATTTATATGACCTGAGACCAATAATCTTAAGCAAAAGAATAGAGTTCTTTGAATGTTAAGAGATTACCAACCAGAGAAACCTCCCGCCGATACTAGGTTAAGGCACTAATCTTGGTTAATGATCAAACTCCAATCTGGAATAAACACAACCCCACACCCACCCACACAGTCGCCCGAGAGCGCGCACACACACACAGGACTCTAAAAGGCTTAATCTCTTTAACTAGACTTAACTACGTAATTTTCTCAATTTATAAGGTAATAGACTTTAGAATTTAAACACAAAAGTACATTACTGAAATAGTATTCTTACTTTGAATGGGCAAATTACGAGTACAAACCTTAAATGACAATGTACATAGCAGAATTACTACCCGAGTAATCCCTTAAGTTTATGGTCCCTAGTGGCCAAAGTCTTCAATAGATCAAGATGATCTTACTTGAAGTTACTAATTCAAAAAACAGAGTCATAGGGTATTATTACAGATCCTTAAAGTTCTAAAGACACTTTAAAAAAATATATATATGAGAGCCATTCAGTTAAAACCTTTTACAACTTTGCTAATTTGCCAATACTTAGTTTGGTAGATACTGACAACTTAGTCTCTTCTCATTCACATGAAGAAAATCTCGAAAGCAATGGGAAATGGAGGGGTCTGAAAAGCCTTTTGATATATCTTTTTCCTCTATTAGTATATGACCCAAATATCCCTTACAGATCTAGAGAATTGGCTATTTTGCAAGACGGCAGCTAATTTTTCTATTTATTGGGGAGTTTTACATTTCTAGCTTTGGCACTAAAAGCACAGATATTATTTCAATTCTCTTTTGTCATTATTTGTCTTTCCTCTACAAGCCATCTGTCAGGAAAATTTTGGGTTATAAAGATTTATTATATAACCCAGCATTTATTTCTGATAGTGCAACCTGTATAATCTTTGAAAAGTAGAGATAATTCTAAAAATCAAGCTTTAGAATTTAATTTTAAAGATTTCTTTTTAAATCACAGATGTGTCCTAAATTTTTTGACTAATAGAAATAAGTTTTAATTCTTTTAGAAGATATGAGGTGGGTGGCAGGGGTGGATGCTCAGGAACATATGGACCATTGTGGCCAGATGGCGATTAAAAAACAAAGAAAGTCAAGAAATGTACTTTGTCTACACATAGGGAACAATGCTGTGCTTCAGTTGCCCCAAATTCATATTCATACATGCTATATATAGTCCAAATATCTATTGAATTAGTTTTCTAATCATATACAAGACCTATTTCTAAATATTCTTATACATCTCCTCCTCCCCACACCTTTGCAACTATTTAAAAATTGCTCCCTCCTTCCCTTCCCAATCACAGTTATGGTATCACAACCCTCTGGTCATCTGGTGTGAATACTCAGAATCCTGTCTGAATACTCACTGCTAACCTAGTCAGTCACGTAGATGCTAATTCCTTGGTGTCTCCCATTATCAGATCCTTCCTTCCATTCCTGCTACCTATTTAATATAGGTCCTCCTAATTTCTTTGCCTGAACTCCTTTAGTAATCTCCTAACTTGTCACTCTATATCCCATATTTCCCTGTCCTTTAAAGTTTCATCAGAGTTTACCTTCCTGGTTGACTTTTGCCATCACTTGGTTGCATCATGCCTCCTTCTGGCTCTAAAGTCTTTCCTGACTCATTGGCCTAGCATTTAAACACTTTTATGATCTGGTCCCAACTGACCTTTCCAGTTTGATATATCTCCACTACAACCCCATCTCATGAACACTCAGATCCAGGCACATGGCATAGGCTATTGTCATTCACTTTTTATAATTCTCCTTTTTGTTCATTCTGTTCCCTCAGACTAAAATTTCCTTTATCTGCTGACACTCCCCCCTTCTTCTCTGCCTGTGCATTACCCAAATCCCAGCTCAAATGCTGCCTCCTATATTCTTTTCCCAAGTTCCCAGAGAGAACGTAAATGTTCCCTCTTTGTTCCCTTGTCCCTTGGTTTTTAACCTTTGTCTAATACTTCATTTTCCTTTGCATTTCAATTGGCATGTTGTAGTCCACCTCTAAATTAAGAGCATTTTAAGGACAGAGACTGTCTTTTAATGAACTACAGTAATGCTTTCCTTTAACTGGTATTGTCAGGGAATTAGGTATCCTGTAAAAGTAAAACTTCCAAGTAACAAAAAGTTTTACACAAATAATTTTAACAACATTTAAAAAAGTAATCTATACTGTCCTATTTTCCTAACTAAGATCTACTGATTATGATTTATTATTGACAGCGGATCATCTTTGTGAGCCATTATTTGATGTGGTACTGGTAAGGTTATTTGTCCCCAAACTGTTAAGATTTCCCACCAAAGCCATAGATTTTTGGAGCTAGAATGGACCTTAGAGGTCATCCAGTCTGACTCATTTTTGAGTTCTCACTTTGGGTAATTTTTTTTGGTCGGGGGCGGGGGGGGGTAGGTTCTCGCTTGTTGCCTCTAGCAGTATCTCTCCCTCTTTCTAATTTTGTACTTCCAATCTGCTTTCAACTCTGAAAAGTCAATGAAGCTTTGGTCTAAAGAAAAAGTAAAACAGACTTCCAAAGAATGCTGGAGGGCTTCAGTTGCAAGTACCCTCTGATATTTATATTGGTTGCTCAGTGACATTTTTGTTTGCTTCCTGAATCCTGGCTATGCTCTGGGTAATTGAGGTTGCCAGATAAGATTTATCTATAAACTAGACCCTGTTCTAAGTGCTTTACATGCATTAACATATTTAATCCTCATATCCACCCTATAAGATAGACATTGCTATTATCTCATTAAAGATAAGATCGACTAACTTGCCTAGGATAACACAAGCTAGTAAGTACAGAACTGGTATCTGAACCCAGGAAGTTTGGCTCCAGTGTCTCTTCACCACCATTCTACATCACAGTGAAACCTAAAGCTATTATTTTACTGTAAAAATGAAAATTAAATAGATACATTCAGGATGAGGGGGGTTGTGGCAAATATTTAACAAGGAGGAAGCCTTGATGTGTAGTGTGTGTCAATTTCCATGGCGTAAATAATCCTCCCTTGGCCATATGAGTGCACAGTTGGGAAAATATGGGTACAATTACCTTTTTTTTTTTCTTTAAAGATTCATTTATTTTGAGAGAGAGAGAGCACGCCTGAGTGGGGTGGGGCAGAGGGAGAGGGAGAGAGGAAGCAGACTCCCTGCTGAGCACAGAGCCTGAGAGGGTCTCAGATCTCAGGACCCTGATTATCATGACCTGAGCTGAAAACCAAGTCAGATGCTAAACTGACTGAGCCACCCAGGCGCCCCTGGGTACAATTATCTTGATAGCATTCACTCAATTCAAGAAGGAATCCTTGAACTTGCTACTTAAAAATCATTAACAACACCAAGGAGCTCAAGTTTTGTTTTTTACATTTTCACTCTGCTACCTAAAATATTTTGGGAGAAGGGACAGATTAGGGATAGGTAACAATATGCAGAAGAAATACTCCAGTTTCAAATGTTCAACAGTGAATAATGGTTTGTGCCTGTGCCTATCTTGGGAACAAAGGTAATAAAATAGACTGTAGTAACTCTTATACTCTTACAGAATACCATTTAATTAAAATGTTCATATAAATAAAGTGTGTTGATCCTTG